AGGAATAGTGCCCCATCATTGGTGTCAATGGAAGGAATAGTTCCCCATCATTGTATCAGTGGGAAGAATAGTGCCCCATCATTGGTGTCAGTGGGAGGAATAGTGCCCCATCATTGGTATCAGTGGAAGGAATAGTGCCCCATCATTGGTATCAGTGGAAGGAATAGTGCCCCATCATTGGTATCAGTGGGAGGAATAGTGGAAGTGGGGCCCATCATTGGTGTCAGTGGAAGGAATCCCCATCATTGGTATCAGTGGGAGGAAGAGGGCCCATCATTGGTATCAGTGGGAGGAATAGTGCCCTCATCATTGTATCAGTGGAAGGAATAGTGCCCCATCATTGGTGTCAGTGGAAGGAATAGTGCCCCATCATTGTTGTCAGTGGAAGGAATAGTGCCCCATCATTGGTGTCAGTGGGGGAATAGTGCCCCATCATTGGTATCAGTGGGAGGAATAGTGCCCCATCATTGGTGTCAGTGGGAGAAATAGTGCCCCATCATTGGTGTCAGTGGGAGGAATAATCCCCCATCATTGTTATCAGTGGGAGAAATAGAGCCCCATCATTGTTGTCAGTGGAAGGAATAATCCCCCATCATTGTTATCAGTGGGAGGAATAGTGCCCCATCATTGGTGTCAGTGGGAGGAATAATTCCCCATCATTGTTATCAGTGGGAGGAATAGTGCCCCATCATTGGTGTCAGTGGGAGGAATAGTTCCCCATCATTGTTATCAGTGGGAGGAATAGTGCCCCATCATTGGTATCAGTGGGACGAATAATGTCCCATCTTTGGTGTCAGTGGGGGGAATAGTTCCCCATCATTGTTCTCAGTGGGAGGAATAGTGCCCCATCATTGGTGTCAGTGGGAGGAATAGTGCCCCATCATTGGTATCAGTGGGGGGAATAGTTCCCCCATCATTGTTATCAGTGGGGGAATAGTGCCCCATCATTGGTATTAGTGGGAGGAATAGTGCCCCATCATTGGTATCAGTGGGAGGAAGAGGGCCCATCATTGGTATCAGTGGGAGGAATAGTGCCCCATCATTGGTATCAGTGGGAGGAAGAGTGCCCCATCATTGGTATCAGTGGGAGGAATAGTGCCCCATCATTGGTGTCAGTGGAAGGAATAGTGCCCCATCATTGAATTGTCAGTGGAAGGAATAGTGCCCCATCATTGGTGTCAGTGGGGGAATAGTGCCCCATCATTGGTGTCAGTGGAAGGAATAGTGCCCCATCATTGTTGTCAGTGGAAGGAATAGTGCCCCATCATTGGTGTCAGTGGGGGAATAGTGCCCCATCATTGGTATCAGTGGGAGGAATAGTGCCCCACCATTGGTATCAGTGGGAGGAATAGTGCCCCATCATTGGTGTCAGTGGAGAGAATAGTGCCCCATCATTGGTGTCAGTGGGAGGAATAATCCCCCATCATTGTTATCAGTGGGAGAAATAGAGCCCCATCATTGTTGTCAGTGGAAGGAATAATCCCCCATCATTGTTATCAGTGGGAGGAATAGTGCCCCATCATTGGTGTCAGTGGGAGGAATAATCCCCCATCATTGTTATCAGTGGGAGGAATAGTGCCCCATCATTGGTGTCAGTGGGAGGAATAGTTCCCCATCATTGTTATCAGTGGGAGGAATAGTGCCTCATCATTGGTATCAGTGGAAGGAATAGTGCCCCATCATTGGTGTCAGTGGAAGGAATAGTGCCCCATCATTGTTGTCAGTGGAAGGAATAGTGCCCCATCATTGGTGTCAGTGGGGGAATAGTGCCCCATCATTGGTATCAGTGGGAGGGAATAGTGCCCCACCATTGGTATCAGTGGGAGGAATAGTGCCCCATGATTGGTGTCAGTGGGAGAAATAGTGCCCCATCATTGGTGTCAGTGGGAGGAATAATCCCCCATCATTGTTATCAGTGGGAGAAATAGAGCCCCATCATTGTTGTCAGTGGAAGGAATAATCCCCATCATTCATTGTTATCAGTGGGAGGAATAGTGCCCCATCATTGGTGTCAGTGGGAGGAATAATCCCCCATCATTGTTATCAGTGGGAGGAATAGTGCCCCATCATTGGTGTCAGTGGAGGAATAGTTCCCCATCATTGTTATCAGTGGGAGGAATAGTGCCCCATCATTGGTATCAGTGGGACGAATAATGTCCCATCTTTGGTGTCAGTGGGGGGAATAGTTCCCCATCATTGTTCTCAGTGGGAGGAATAGTGCCCCATCATTGGTGTCAGTGGGAGGAATAGTGCCCCATCATTGGTATCAGTGGGGGGAATAGTTCCCATCATTGTTATCAGTGGGGGAATAGTGCCCCATCATTGGTATTAGTGGGAGGAATAGTGCCCCATCATTGGTATCAGTGGGGGGAATAGTTCCCCATCATTGTTATCAGTGGGAGGAATAGTGCCCCATCATTGGTGTATCAGTGGGAGGAATAGTGCCCCATCATTGGTGTCAGTGGGAGGAATAATCCCCATCATTGTTATCAGTGGGAGGAATAGTGCCCCATCATTGGTGTCAGTGGGAGGAATAGTTCCCCATCATTGTTATCAGTGGGAGGAATAGTGCCCCATCATTGGTATCAGTGGGAGTGGGACGAATAATGTCCCATCTTTGGTGTCAGTGGGGGGAATAGTTCCCCATCATTGTTCTCAGTGGGAGGAATAGTGCCCCATCATTGGTGTCAGTGGGAGGAATAGTGCCCCATCATTGGTATCAGTGGGGGGAATAGTTCCCCATCATTGTTATCAGTGGGGGGAATAGTGCCCCATCATTGGTATTAGTGGGGAGGAAGTAGTGCCCCATCATTGGTATCAGTGGGGAATAGTTCCCCATCATTGATCAGTGGGAGGAATAGTGCCCCCATCATTGGTTATCAGTGGGAGGAATAGTGCCCCATCATTGGTATCAGCAGGGGAGGAATAGTGCCCCATCATCATTGGTATCAGTGGGAGGAATAGTGCCCCATCATTGGTATCAGTGGGAGGAATAGTGCCCCATCATTGGTATCAGTGGGGAAATAGTGCCCCATCATTGGTATCAGTAGGAGGAATAGTGCTCCATCATTGGTATCAGTGGGAGGAATAGTGACCCATCATTGGTGTCAGTGGGAGGAATAGTGCTCCATCATTGGTATCAGTAGGAGGAATAGTGCCCCATCATTGGTATCAGTAGGAGGAATAGTGTCCCCCATCATTGGTATCAGTGGGACGAATAATGTCCCATCTTTGGTGTCAGTGGGACGAACAGTGCCCCATCATTGGTATTAGTGGGAGGAATAGTGCCCCATCATTGGTGTCAGTCAGAGGAATAGTGCTCCGGGAGCAAGATAAAAGCAAGCAAAGGGCCACATCCGGCCCCTGGGCCACAGTTTGGAGACCACTGGCATAAATGGAAGCAAGAACCCAAGCATACTTACTGTACTTATAATTATATCTGTCTGGTAGTCAAGAGACTTATGGTTTGTTCATGAGCACCTATATGCAGCTACACACAATTATATACATTTTTGAAAAGATTGTCAATATCCAGGGATCCAACCTATTGGACTCTATATAGCCTGGCGTGCATCTTTTTGGCTGCATTATATATGGGTTTTCCAGCTATCACCATTCCTCGTCTGTGCTACGGACTGCCCAGCATTTCAATGATCACATCCTAGAGCCTTTGAGAAATATTCCCACCTTGGCATACAGTATATTAGGGTGAATACATAGGGATGTGAGTGATACCTGGATTAGCAATTCATTTACTAGTCACTACCCAACGATTTATACTCTTTGATATATGGCCGTACTCTGACGTCAGTTGTAAAGGGGGACAGACAACGTTGTCTGGGGTGAGGTGACGGATGTGGTTGTTTGATGTAATTTTTATAACTATTCAATTTTGTATCCGATAAACTCTAATTCTATGAATGATCACAGTTAGGTATACCACATTGGTCCACAAAGTAACCACTTTTTTGGTGGACATCTTGTCCAAAATAACCTCTTCTCTTTTCTTGGCGAATTGTTTGGTTCCATGGACCACATTCATGTAATGTAGGCAGATACCCTTTATACTCTTAGCCTCCTGCTGTTCTTATTTTATTTCCAAAGCATACTTACTGCTGGAGAAACTGCTGCCCTGGAATCCCACAGTGTCCGGTCACATGACCAACCCAACCATTATGAATTGCGATCTTCCTCTTCACCAAAAGTGATGCCTTTTTGTCATGTGACCAACCACTGGGGAATGCCATGGCAAGTATTTTGTGGCCATTTATGAGTTTCATGGGGGGGGTGAAGTTGGAAAGGGGATAGGCAGACCTTATTATGACAATGGGTCCAATCTAATTTGGTCACTGGGGAATGCCATGGCAAGTATTTTTGTGGTCATTTATGAGTTTCATTGAGGATGAAGTTGAAAGGGGATGAAGTTGAAAGGGGATAGGCAAGTATTTTTGTGGCCATATATGAGTTTCATTTGAAAGGTGACCATGACAATGGGTCCAATCTAATTTGGTCACTGGGGAATGCCATGGCAAGTATTTTTGTGGTCCATTTATGAGTTTCATGAGGATGAAGTTGAAAGGGGATAGGCAGACCTTATTATGACCATGGGTCCAATCTAATTTGGTCACTGGGGGAATGCCATGGCAAGTATTTTTGTGGCCATATATGAGTTTCATGGAGGGGAAGTTGAAAGGTGATAGGCAGACCTTATTATGACCATGGGTCCAATCTAATTTGGTCACTGGGGGAATGCCATGGCAAGTATTTTTGTGAGCATTTATGAATTTCATGGAGGTGATGTTGGAAAGGGGATAGGCAGACCTTATTATGACAATGGGTCCAATCTAATTTGGTCACCGGGTAACAAATAAAGTAATAATAAAAGTAATAACAGCACATAAACACACAAATATATGCAGTATAAAAAATAAAGCTCACTTACAATGTTTATTCTTATGTAAAAAAAAACATGACTGATCAGCATGTTCCTTCCTACATAGGGACCCTGCCTAATATCACCCGGAACGCCATCGTAAACTGCGCAGAGCTGGTGACCTACGACCTCATCAAGGAAGCCATCCTAAACCACCAACTGATGACAGGTGAGAAGGGAATCCCATACCGGCAAACTGGGCAGCTGCCAAGGGCTGTCCTATTTCTGGGGGGAACACAGAATTACTTGTATGATAAGTGTATGCACTATTTTCTTTTTCTTTGCTTACCCAGGCTGAGCAGAAATTAATTTGGTAAAATTGATTTATCTGCCTAAATAGCAATATCGCTGTTTGATAAATTACACTTAGGTGTTAACTCTCAGTTTCAGTCACTCAGCTGTTTGGGCAACGTTTGCTTAAAAAAAAATAATATTTCTTTTTTTTAAGAGGGTTTACATTGGGTAATTTAGTCGTATTTCTTTAGTGTTCTTTTAATGTGTCCTTTTTTTCCCCTTTTTGTGTTTTTTTGATCTTTTTTTTTGTGTGTACTGTCACTTTATATTTATTTTTTTATTTAATTACATACATTATTTTATATATACTATATACATTAATATATATATATATATATATATATATATATATACACAATAAAGTATATATATATATTTTTTTTTATATATATATGTATATATTTTATAATTTTTTTTTTTTTTTTTTTTTTTTTTTAATGTCTACTTTTTTCCTTCAGTAAGAAAACAATAGTATAATAATAAAGCTGATAAGGAAATTTTTTTGGCACAAGAATAGGTCCAGTATAGTTGGACTTCCAAAACACTCAGGGCCCTTTTTTAAGCCCATTGCTCCCTATATTACATGCAATCTCCTTTATTTGTTTGATTCTGGTCTGGCTAATGTATAATTGACGGGTATAATTAAGGCGGCACTCAGTGCTTCATATAGTGAACTCGGTGTAGAGTTATTCACCCTGAGGTCATCACAGAGGACAAGGGGGGCACTCTTTACGTCTGGAGGGAAAGAGATTTAATCTCCAAACACGGAAAGGTTTCTTCACAGTGAGAGCTGTGAGAATGTGGAATAGACTCCCTCAAGAGTTGGTTCTGGCCAGCTCAGTGGATTGCTTCAAAAAAGTCCTGGATTCTTTCTTGGATACACAGAATATAACTGGATATAACATTTATAGGTAAAGTTGATCCAGGGAGTATCTCTGATTGCCTCTCGGGGATCAGGAAGGATATTTTTCCCCTGCAGGAGCAAATTGGATCATGCTTTGCTGGGGTTTTTTTGCCTTCCTCTGGATCAACTGTGGGTGTAGGATTATAACTTTTTTTTTTTTTTTGTAATGGTTGAACTGGATGGATTTTTGTCTTTTTTCAGCCAGACTAACTATGAAAGAGTTTTGATATATCTGTTCAATGGGAGCAAATACTTGTTGATCCTGCCTGAAAACTAGTGATCTTCCTGTGCTCTGCCGGTGCTGACTGTTTTATCAGTTACATCGTTTCCAGCTCTTCATGTGCACTGCAGAACACCTCTCCCCCCATGTTATGGAGAAGAAAGGTCGGGAGGTGATCTGTGGTCCTGTCCTTAGTTAACTACCAGTGGCGGACTGACCATTCGGAAACTCAGGCACTGCCCGAGTGCCCGGGGTCAGTAGGGGGCCCCATGAGATGCCCCGGTACCTTTTTCATAGGCTTTTTTGAGTTTGGGCAAGGACACAGGGGCCCAGGGGGGGACTGACCATTCAGGCACTCGGGCACTGCCTGAGGGCCCAGGGGCAGTAGGGGGCCCCATGAAATGCCCCTGGTACCTTTTTTATAGGCTTTTTTGAGTGTGGGCAAGGACACAGGGGCCCCAAGGAAGGGTTTTGTGGTAATGTTTTATTGTTTTTGTCGGGTTACAACTGCACCCCTCATACAGGTGTCACAGGAGCAGGAAGTGAGGGACAATCTCCAACATAGGGTTACAGATGGGAATAAAAACCCTAAAGTTATTGGAACTCTTTCTTGCTAGAATTAAAAAAAAAAAAACAACAAATTGGCTAGGTTGAGAGTTTGGCTTGAACGTCTCTGTACAGTCGACCTCCTTCACCTATACAAACAGTTCCCGTTCTGACTACACCCAAAATTACATAATACCCTGGAGAATGATGTCCTTCATGACCTTCGGTACTGGGCAACAGCCCCAGCTAATGTGTTGTGAAAATGATCATATATCATCATGGGACTCTGAAAAGACAAAAAAGGCTCATTATATCCATCAATGATAGGGAAAAAAACTGATAAAATGTTAAACAATCTTACTCGTCCCAAACCCAACGAGGCCAATTTTGTATCTTCCAGATAACCTACCATGTCATTTTGTGGCTGCATTTGGCGCTGGCTTCTGCACAACGGTGGTGGCATCTCCTGTGGATGTAGTGAAAACACGTTACATGAACTCTACGGCCGGCCAATACAAGAATGCCATAGACTGTGCATTCACCATGGTGATAAGGGAAGGCAGAGCTGCATTTTACAAGGGGTAAGCCTAACATCACAATTTCCGAGTATCCTCCCTCAGATCTGAGGCTCTCAGTGATTTTAGGCTCAAAGTCAGAGATCTGGCCTGTCTTTTCCTGCCTTCTCCTGCCTTCTTTCCACTATTCTTTCCACTGACACCAATGATGGGGCACTATTCCTTCCATTGACCCAATAAAGGGTCACTATTTCTCCCACTGAAAGCAATGATGGGGCACTATTCCTCCCACTGACACCAATGATGGGGCACTATTCCTCCCACTGACACCAATGATGGGGCACTATTCCTCCCACTGATACCAATGATGGGGCACTATTCCTCCCACTGACACCAATGATGGGGCACTATTCCTCCCACTGATACCAATGATGGGGCACTATTCCTCCCACTGATACCAATGATGGGGCACTATTCCTCCCACTGACACCAATGATGGGACACTATTCCTCCCACTGATACCAATGATGGGGCACTATTCTCCCCACTGACACCAATGATGGGGCGCTATTTCTCCCACTGACACCAATGATGGGGCGCTATTCCTCCCACTGACACCAATGATGGGGCGCTATTCCTCCCACTGACACCAATGATGGGGAGCTATTCCTCCCACTGTTAGCAATGATGGGGCGCTATTCCTCCCACTGATACCAATGATGGGGCGCTATTCCTCCCACTGATACCAATGATGGGGCGCTATTCCTCCCACTGATACAAATGATGGGGCACTATTCCCCCCACCGATACCAATGATGGGGCACTATTCCTCCCACCGATACCAATGATGGGGAACTATTCCTCCCACCGATACCAATGATGAGGCACTATTTCCCCCACCGACACCAATGATGGGGCACTATTCCCCTCACCGACACCAATGATGGGGCACTATTTCTCCCACCGACACCAATGATGGGGCACTATTCCCCCCACCGACACCAATGATGGGGCACTATTCCCCCCACCGACACCAATGATGGGGCACTATTCCCCCCACCGACACCAATGATGGGGCACTATTCCCCCCACCAACACCAATGATGGGGCACTATTCCTCCCACCAACACCAATGATGGGGCACTATCCCCCCCACCGATACCAATGATGGGGCACTATTCCTCCCACCGATACAAATGATGGGGCACTATTCCCCCCACTGACAACAATGATGGGGCACTATTCCTCCCACCGATACCAATGATGGGGCACAATTCCTCCCACCGATACCAATGATGGGGCACTATTCCTCCCACCGACACCAATGATGGGGCACTATTCCCCCCCCGACCGACACCAATGATGGGGCACTATTCCCCCCACCGATACAAATGATGGGGCACTATTCCTCCCACTGATACCAATGATGGGGCACTATTCCTCCCACTGATACCAATGATGGGGCACTATTCCTCCCACTTACACCAATGATGGGGCACTATTCCTCCCACTGATACCAATGATGGGACACTATTCCTCCCACTGATACCAATGATGGGGCACTATTCCTCCCACTGATACCAATGGTGGGGCACTATTCCTCCCACTGATACCAATGATGGGGCACTATTCCCCCCACTGATACAAATGATGGGGCACTATTCCCCCCACCGACACCAATGATGGGGCACTATTCCTCCCACTGATACCAATGATGGGGCACTAATCCCCCCACTGATAGCAATGATGGGACACTATTCCTCCCACTGATACCAACATTGGGGCACTATTCCCCCCACTCATACCAATAGTGGGGCACTATTCCTCCCACTGACACCAAAGTTGTGGCATTATTCCTCCCACTGATACCAATGGTGGGGCACTATTCCTCCCACTGACACCAAAGTTGTGGCATTATTCCTCCCACTGATACCAATGGTGGGGCACTATTCCTCCCACTGACACCAAAGTTGTGGCATTATTCCTCCCACTGACACCAACCAATGAAACCAATAATTGGACACTATTTCTTCCACTGACACCAGTGATGGGGCCGTACTTCTTCTCCCATCAACCACAGGCACTAGACCAATTTTTACTTATACTTCTCTCCAAACCTGAGGCATTTTTACTCCCAATGACTCCCAAGCCTATTGTATTGACTGCTCCTACTGACAACATACCCACTGTCCACAGTTCATTCCCCATGAGGTCTAAAGGACAGGAGGGAGGGGTGTATCTCTTAATGCCATCCAAAAATATTTTGAATAATGTATGGCCCTCTCTCTGTAGATTCATGCCGGCTTTCCTCAGACTCGGATCCTGGAACATCGTCATGTTTGTCAGCTATGAACAGCTGAAGAGAGCCATGATGATGGCCCATGGCTCCTGGGAAGATCTTCATTAACTGAAGTCAAGGACTGAAGAGGTTTACCAGAATTCTGTGATCAGAAGACCCACAGTCAGTGGGTGACAACACTCCTGCAAAGGGAAGGCTCTTGTTGGAGGTTCTTCTACCTTGCTTGGTCCACCAAGATGGGGAAAAGTCTGAATTCTCCTTCTCTGTTTAATATAGGTAGAAACATCTCAGGGTGAATGTGCAAGGGGAATTTTAGAAGATGAATATGACAATTAGGTGTCATGTGCAACTTTTTTTTTGCAATGCTGAGTTTGAAAATGTGAAGATAATGAGTATTTTGTGCTGTATTGTAGGCCCTGGGTAGTACCTAGACATAGGTTTACACGGAGTCTTCAGCACTCTGGATACCACAAATTCAGCAGATTTTAACACTCTCCAGGAAGTGTCAATTGCTGGTCCATTGACTTCTAACTTCTGAACGTTCTTAAGGAGCAGTAAGGCCCATTCATCCTAGGGATTGACCAATAGGAACACACAGCAGGCTGGAGGGTTGGGATTTACGAAAATATCTAACTTTGCTCATTGCAACACTACAGGATTTGGGGTGTCCAGAGCACTGAAGACCGCATGTGAAAGTATGTCCAAGCAAGGCTTCCTCCTGCATTGTACTTCTGGAGCCTGCTCATATACCAACAGGTATACCATAACAGCTGGCAGTCTTTGCTGAAGAAAAATCATATATATACTGTATGTTGAAATGCATTTTTTTTTTTATTTATATTACAAAATAGATGAAAAATATTTTTTTAAATATATTATTTTTAAATATAATCTTCAGGTTTTTTTAACATATAAAAAAATAATTTTAGTATATATTTTTACATATATTTGTAAATGCATTAAAAAAAATGTAGATTAAATGTATTTTTAAAGACATACAGTATATTTGAAAATGTATTTTTAAAAATATTTTTCATATATTTTGCAATATATATATAAATATACTTTGAAAGATATTGAATATGGCCAAAATTGTAGTTTTTCAAATATGTCAATATATTGGGGAAGAATATTTTAAAAATATATTTAAAATATGTTTTTCTTCCATGTGGGGAAGCACTGTTCCCAGGGATATCTCTTCAAAATAAGGGAAATTTGAACAGGTGTCCTTTTTTGGAAAATTCCCTCTCCGCTTCTGTTCTGGTGACAACTCCAACTTTTGGGTTATCCCTTTACTTTGGGCAATGGTTTTCGAGATAAATAGAGAGGGTGGTCTCTTCTTGGCCTTCTGGCTAAGATCGAGTGTAGTATCAAATGTAGAGAGGGTGAACCTGTAGTGTCAGGTGTAGAGAGGGTGAACTTGTAGTATCAAGTGTAGAGAGAGAGGTGAACCTGTAGTGTCAGGTGTAGAGAGGGTGAACTTGTAGTATCAAGTGTAGAGAGGGTGAACTTGTAGTATCAAATGTAGAGAGGGTGTGACCTGTAGTATGAAGTGTAGAGAGGGTGAACCTGTAGTATCAAATGTAGAGAGGGTGAACCTGTAGTATCAAATGTAGAGAGGGTGAACCTGTAGTATCAAATGTAGAGAGGGTGAACCTGTAGTATCAAATGTAGAGAGGGTGTACCTGTAGTATGAAGTGTAGAGAGGGTGAACCTGTAGTATCAAATGTAGAGAGGGTGAACCTGTAGTATCAAGTGTAGAGAGGGTGAACCTGTAGTATCAAATGTAGAGAGGGTGTACCTTGCTCCAAGACAACCTGTAGTATGAAGTGTAGAGAGGGTGTACCTGTAGTATCAAGTGTAGAGAGGGTGAACCTGTAGTATCAAGTGTAGAGAGGGTGTACCTGTAGTATCAGGTGTAGAGAGGGTGTACCTGTAATATCAAGTGTAGAGAGGGTGAACCTGTAGTATCAGGTGTAGAGAGGGTGAACCTGTAGTATCAAGGTGTAGAGAGGGTGAACCTGTAGTATCAAGTGTAGAGAGGGTGAACCTGTAGTATGAAGTGTAGAGAGGGTGAACCTGTAGTATCAGTGTAGAGAGGGTGTACCTGTAGTATCAGGTGTAGAGAGGGTGTACCTTGTCTCCAAGACAACCTGTAGTATGAAGTGTAGAGAGGGTGTACCTGTAGTATCAAGTGTAGAGAGGGTGAACCTGTAGTATGAAGTGTAGAGAGGGTGAACCTGTAGTATGAAGTGTAGAGAGGGTGTACCTGTAGTATCAGGTGTAGAGAGGGTGTACCTGTAATATCAAGTGTAGAGAGGGTGTACCTGTAGTATCAGGTGTAGAGAGGGTGAACCTGTAGTATCAGGTGTAGAGAGGGTGAACCTGTAGTATCAAGTGTAGAGAGGGTGTACCTGTAGTATAAGTGTAGAGAGGGTGAACCTGTAGTATCAAGTGTAGAGAGGGTGAACCTGTAGTATCAGGTGTAGAGAGGGTGTACCTTAGTATGAAGTGTCCAAGACAACCTGTAGTATGAAGTGTAGAGAGGGTGAACCTGTAGTATCAAGTGTAGAGAGGGTGAACCTGTAGTGTCAGTGTAGAGAGGGTGAACCTGTAGTATGAAGTGTAGAGAGGGTGTACCTGTAGTATCAGGTGTAGAGAGGGTGTACCTGTAATATCAAGTGTAGAGAGGGTGAACCTGTAGTATCAGGTGTAGAGAGGGTGTACCTGTAGTATGAAGTGTAGAGAGGGTGTACCTGTAGTATCAGTGTAGAGAGGGTGAACCTGTAGTATGAAGTGTAGAGAGGGTGAACCTGTAGTGTCAGGTGTAGAGAGGGTGAACCTGTAGTATGAAGTGTAGAGAGGGTGAACCTGTAGTATCAGGTGTAGAGAGGGTGAACCTGTAGTATGAAGTGTAGAGAGGTGTGAACCTGTAGTATGAGTGTAGAGAGGGTGAACCTGTAGTATGAATTGTAGAGAGGGTGAACCTGTAGTATCAGGTGTAGAGAGGGTGAACCTGTAGTATGAAGTGTAGAGAGGGTGAACCTGTAGTATCAAGTGTAGAGAGGGGTGAACCTGTAGTATGAAGTGTAGAGGTGAACCTGTAGTGTCAGGTGTAGAGAGGGTGAACAAGTATGAAGTGTAGAGAGGGTGTACCTGTAGTATGAAGTGTAGAGAGGGTGAACCTGTAGTATGAAGTGTAGAGAGGGTGTACCTGTAGTATGAAGTGTAGAGAGGGTGAACCTGTAGTATGAAGTGTAGAGAGGGTGAACCTGTAGTATGAAGTGTAGAGAGGGTGAACCTGTAGTATGAAGTGTAGAGAGGGTGAACCTGTAGTATGAAGTGTAGAGAGGGTGAACCTGTAGTATGAAGTGTAGAGAGGGTGAACCTGTAGTGTCAGGTGTAGAGAGGGTGAACCTGTAGTATGAAGTGTAGAGAGGGTGTACCTGTAGTATGAAGTGTAGAGAGGGTGAACCTGTAGTATGAAGTGTAGAGAGGGTGAACCCTGTAGTTATCAGGTGTAGAGAGGGTGAACCTGTAGTATGAAGTGTAGAGAGGGTGTACCTGTAGTATGAAGTGTAGAGAGGGTGAACCTGTAGTATGAAGTGTATGAAGTGTATGAAGTGAGAGAGGGTGTACCTGTAGTATCAGGTGTAGAGAGGGTGAACCTGTAGTAGAGTGTAGAGAGGGTGAACCTGTAGTATCAAGTGTAGAGAGGGTGAACCTTCCCAGTAGGGACACAAATATCAATGAAAACCTTAAAGAGGAAGCTTCATGTTGCTGAGTCCCACATGAAAGTCCGCTTGGATGGGATGGCATGAGGTCAGGCAGTTAGTTTACAGTTCACTGAAGGTCCTGCAGGAACATTTCGATAGGAACCAAACAAGGACGGAGAACACGTACCCAAATCTAAGATTTATCAAAGTAGATCTGTCCCGAACAGGGGCGGACTGACAACTCATGGGGCCCTAGGGCAATAGGGGATCATGGGGCCCCTGTGTCCTTGCCCAAACTCAAAAATGCCTATGAAAAGGTACCAGGGGCATCTCATGGGGCCCCCTACTGACCCTGGGCCCTCAGGCAGTGCCCAAGTTTCCAAATGGTCAGTCCGCCCCTGTTCAGAGTTTTCAAAGGTCAGTCCGCCCCTGTTCTGAGTTTTCAAATGGTCAGTCCGCCCCTGTCCAACACATTTCATGGGTCAAAGGGTGCAACCTTCCTCAGGGCTTAAAATGTATCAAGGAATGCTGGAATTGGACTGAGAGAAGTAGTGGTGGAGGAACATCCCAAGTACAATGTGCACAGGCTGGTTCCACGACTGGTTGTGGAGGCCATATAAACCTGGCAGGGGTTCCAACCCTTCCTCCTCCAAAATGATTGGCTTTAGGTACAATGTTCTCTAACATTTGCTGGCGACGGGTTCTCCTGAATACCATGCATGCAGGCGGTATGAAGAACACTTTCCTGCACATGTAACTGTACAATTATGTATTATTTCTGTAAAAACATTTTCAGTATTAAATATGAACCTTTCAGGTGCAGCGTGCGGATCGGATTGGATGAGAGATATTACTGATACAAATGGGCAAAGGGCGGGTGGCAGCCGTCCATCACCTGTCAGGAAAAGAGGACGATATCCGTTCTATCACATGTAGACTTCTTATGACCGAGGTGAAGGAAACTCCATCCATGCCAGGTTGTCGGTCATCAATATACATGGAAAGAAGAATAATATTTATATATTTAGCGTTAGGGTGTTTATTTTAACAGCCTAAAAATAAAATAAATAAATAGGAAGAAGAATAATATTTATTTATTTAGCGTTAGGGTGTTTATTTTACCAGCCTAAAAAAAAATAAATAAATAGGAAGAAGAATATTTATTTATTTAGTGTTAGGGTGTTTATTTTAACAACCGAACAAAAAAATAAATAGGAAGAAGACAATAAATAAAATATTTTATTTTATATAATATAAATAAAATATCAACCCATAACCCTTATCCTAACCTTAAAGTGGTTCTAAAGGCTCAAGGTTTTTTACCTTCCTGCTGTCAATCACAGCCAGTGAGAAAATGAGAAGAGAGAGGGGACGGGGCCAAGTGTGAATGGA